AAACCGTAAGAAACTGTAGTATAATTTCTATTATCTGTCTACAAATTATACAGTAAATTAGGTATTTATGATCAGACGTCAAAGCTTATGAAGACCGAACTCATCAATTTCCAAAGATTATCACAATTAAGCTTCTTTTCCACAAGCAATAGATGAAAGTCATCTATGACCTAAACTAAAATGCAAATTTAATCTTCATATACACATTTTCAACATCACTCTTCCTTGTCATACTTAAAAATAATGGAAAATTCAGGTAGTAATTATTCAACACAATCTAGGCACATGTTGACAACATTGACATCAAAGTTTCTGAGAATCGCAAATTCAAGGTCGTAATTTTTACGATACTTGAGCGATCTGGGGTTAACTAAACGCATATACTTTCGACGATTTGTGATTTAAAAAATAAAAAAAGTGTGTCTGGCTACATACTGTTTGTTTCACTGTGACAGTTATCGTGTTAATTCTTTCATTCCAAGTGTGAGCATATAATATTTTTTTCCAATCTCGTAGAGATGGTAAGGCACAAATTTGAATGTCCTTTTAAAAGCTCATCAGTAAAACACAACATTATCAGTCCTTTGTCCCTTTCATTTTATGGAATTCAAGTGTCGAGCACTGTTACAAATATAATAGAAACATACAAATCTCTAATTTCTTTCAAATATTTCAAGAAGGCTCATTGATTAAAGGCAAGAAAAATTGGTTCCTATTACGTATACTAACATTATACTGCGAATGATCACTTATAACTTCGACAAAAGTAAAAAACTTATCAAATAGCAACGAATGAAAAATGGCATTAGTTTCGACATGTCCTTGTCACTCATCTATGTGACACGTAATATACACTAAAACACAACAAAATATTTCTTCAGTAATTTCTAAATAATTTGACTAAAAGTAGTTAACTAATCAATGAACGAAGTACACAGACACAACGACTAAAGTGACCCAAAATCCAAAATAAAAATCACATCCACCACGTCCCTCTTTCCTTCCTGCCTCACCTAACCAAGCGGGCAATAGTGTCGAGGCATCTGGGCTCACGGAGTCCCGATTCGGTGTGGAGCGTTTTCATTTAGACGTAGATTATTCCTAGATGCCCCTCATAAATATTAAACAGGCCGCGCGCGCTCTCGGATTCACGGAGGCGAAACGGTGTGCTTTTTACTCGGAGACCTTGTCCCGGGTTGCTGCTGCTGTACCCCTTTCCCAGTGTGTTCCTCGCGGCCCTCCCGTTCACCCTCCGGCTGGGCGATCCGTCGCTCATTCAGTATGCATCGTCGATATCGACAGAGAGCGCGGGGGCTGTTACGAAAGGCTGCCTCCTCTGGTTCGCCGGGAGCTACACGTCGTGAGCGTGGTCCCATTCGGAAGGGGGGGCCACGAAACTTGGCGGGCTACATTCACCTTGTACCCCTCGGATCGTCTCTTGTTTTTTGTCTGGTGTCGCGAAAAATTGTTTCGCGCGACCACCGGCTGGCAAGCGGTTGATTTTTGCGCGCTGGACGCCCGACGGCCATTCGACGTGGCTGCACGAGGATAGTGGAAAGAGACAAACAGGCAGCTTGCCACCGTGCCGTTTCAGTGGCCATCGGCGTTATATGCCCCGGTCCGCGCACACACACACCTCACCCTCTTCTTTCATCGCTTCTTTCGTCCGCTTCTTCTTCCTCCACCGCTCGGTTTTTCCTCCACCCCCTTCTATCCCTCTAGGCTTCGTGTACTTACGTATTCCGTCGCGAGGCGGTGCTGACTCGTCACGCGCATTTGCATACATTTCGAACCGCGGACCGTGCGCGTTTTTTGCCGGAATTCTTGCCCGGCTGCCGTCCGGCCCACGGATGTCCCTTCGTGCGGCTAGACTGATTGCGATAATCGGCCCGACGGGGAGGAGAGGGTTGAAACGACCGAGCCTCTGATTAAATAACACGGACGCTCGGTTTATTATTCACTAACCCTGTTAGTGCATAGAACTCGAGTGGTTTAATTCACGGACTGTTTTGGGGTCGAGTCTCGAGACGTTTATCTGGGGAATTATCGACGATAAAGTAATTCTGGAGACCGGAGACACGAAAAAAATCATAGGGCAAGGGGTTAGAGTAATCAGAAAAGTTTACTCACGCAAGTTATTCAAGTATTAGAACATTTTACTAAAACAATTTTACATACACTAACGCCTACAGTATCCCCGTCCTCCGACGTCGCAAGAATCTGCACCTGCGCTCGCGACAAGGGGACGCCGACGCTTCGCGTCCGAAAAAAGCGACCCCTTTAGAGTCCCAGCCTCGCGGGCAAAAGCTTCACCTCCGGTCCGGGTTACGTCGCTCTTCGCGTGTCAACCCCGGTTGTAAATATCAATAAACAAAGCCGTGACGACGGGTAGACCGACTCGTGGGCCCAGAACTCGCTAACGAAATAAACCACCGGCGGGATGAGAGCTTCAGCGTTGGGCCCTTTGTCGGGGCGCCATCTACCCGGGCGCAACCCGCGGCCGAGTTTTTCAGCGAGCAATTAGAAAGAGATTTATTTGCGCCGGCACGCCGGGCGCACGCTCGCGCCGATAGGGGGTGAAGGGAAGAGGAGGACTTCCTCTTTCTCTCTTTCTAGCAGCGTTGCACCAGCAACATATTTTTCGGCCTGGTACCGTGCGTACACGGCCATTTTATACGGCACACGAGGCATTCCGTTGCCTGGCGGGTACATCAGTGGTGTGTGTATGGGTGTGCACGCGAGTCGCGGTTTCCAGCGGACCGACTACGCTTACGAAACGTGAAACAATGCCGGGCCGGTGCGTTTCTTTCGTGGCTAGGACGAGCCCGCAGTGCGGTTTTAATGAACTCGTTTTGACGTGACGATGCCCCCACCCCTTGTTTTGCGCGAAGAGTCTCTACGGTAAACCCTCGATGAGTGTTCGAAAGCTCCTGGGCACTGAACTTTAACATTAGAACTATCAAAGTTGAATGCGCACTAAATTATATTGTATAATATATTAATATCTAGAACAGGCGTCGGCAATCTATGATCCACGAGTCACCAAATGACCCATTTCATAATTTCAAGTGACCCACTTGAGTTCCACAAATAAAGTATAGTATATATCTACTCTATCACTGTGCTGAATCTCATTAAAAAGTCAGAGTTACACCTGGGGACCTCTACTTGTCAGTGCTGAAGAGCCTTCGGACATTCATTGAAGATTTACTGCATCTTGAAGTACGTGGTTCTAACCACCTCGCCTTTACACCCCCGCCCACGGACCTCGGTTAATTAAAGTAACCGTACGGGTTTTGATTGACGCCCCGAGGCGTCAGAAGTCGTGGACGCTCGGCACCTAGGGCTCCGACAGCGATTACACAACGACGGAACCGTAGGGTTGACAAGTAGGACCCGTTCATCCGTTAGCTACCCGCCTGTCGTGGGTCTTGATGCACCTCAGGTGTACGGAAAGAAGCGTGCTGGAATTGGTACCGTCGAGAATTATGTAAGCACGCCTGATGATAGATGACGAAAGTCTTGTTCTTTTATCAGAGTCTGATGTATTGGCCACCCGAGCGTTATCGTTCGCGGCGAGGAAAGTGTATGAAAATGCGTTCGAAATTTATGCAGCTCCGTGCGTTGGTTCTTGCCATAAACGACGTGTATTCAGATATGTATCGGGAGAATTTAGGTCTGGGAATACATTTTAGCGAACGAATTGTTTCCTTGACCAGATGTATCGTTAACTGGTGGAGTTACAGAACTGATCTATCACGGCTAACCGATTTAGCTAGATACCTCGCTATGTTTTTCCTCTTCATGCCTTCGAATTCCCATCGAACTCACGATCGTCCCAAGGAGAGAGAAAAAACGAATTCGCTAACGGTTCCCTTAAAAAGTCAACGAAGCAACCAACGATCCTTCCGTCTTCCTGTAACCGTCCAGGAACAAGGGTTCAAGCGGTGTACCGCTCGGGTCCCCGTGCAAAACAACTCCGTGTTCCTCATCCGAGACGTTTCTATCGGCCAGGCGGCGCAGCTCGCCTCTATGAGGCTAAGGTTACGTAAGATTGAGCAGCACCGTCACGTGCACGCGGCGTACGTATAGATCGCGAAGACACAAAAAAATACCGCATGTGCAATCCTAACAGCGGCACACGCGCATTAGTATCCGCTGCAGGCCGTACCCGGCGTTGTATGCAGCGTGTAGGTAGAGAGGCAGGCAAAAGAAACGACAGTTACGAAACGAGCAGTTCCTTCTTTTTCTGTTTCCTCTGTATTTTTTTTATTTTCGTTCTCTCTCCTCGTTGCTTCTCCTCTGTGTCCCGGTAGTGACGATACGACGCGGACACACACGCGTATTGCAGTAAATCCTTTATGAGTGTTCGGAGGCTCCTCAGCACTGACAAGGTGAGGTCCTCAGGTGTAACGTTGATCGTTTACTGAGGTTGAGTACAGTGGTATATGGCCATTAGTTTATGAAATATTTAATGTTCAGTGTGGAGGAACCTTCGAACACTCATCGAGGATATACTGTACAGGTGGTACCGATCGAAAACGGCGGTGGACACAATGTATCCTCTTATCGTGGTCGAGGGGACCCAGGTCTCGCTTTCACGCAAAATACATGTATATATGTATATACGCGAACCGAACAAGCGTGTATCATTACGCGTGTACTCGCAGAAAATTTCTATCGGAGCCTGTAATTATCGGATGTTTGACGGACGGAAGGACAGGCGCGGAGACAGTGAAAATTGCTGGCTTCCCACGTCTCTCGAACCACGTTAAATAGTGCATCAACCCGACCGTCCCGTCTCCCTTCTCCTTTTCTTCGACTTCTTTTTTGCGCCCCTCTCCCCCTCCACCCCCTACCTCTTCTTCATCTCTTGCTCTTTCTTTTTTGTTTCTCTCTCTATCTTTCTCTCTCCCTCGGCTGTTCGTTTCGTGTGGAATAACGACTGACAACCAGCGAAACGAGTTTCACCTGACCCGTTCTTTCGATTTTTGTTGCAGGTGAAAATCTGGTTCCAGAACAGAAGGAGTAAGTACAAGAAGATGATGAAGGCGGCGCAGCAAGGCGGATACCCGGAGGACCATCCCCTCAACCGGGACAACCCGGAAGCCTCATGCAAGGAGGTACGTGGCTCCCTTATAATTGTCGTATGAATAACATAACAGATGGTTGTTGCACCTAAATTGCGTTAAAAATATGCGTATCTATTGAATTTCACGCGAATCCTGAAATAACGTTAATTGCAACGGAGTTTATCGTCGAAACGGGTCAGGAGAAGCTTGAATCGGTGTTATCTACGGGCACAAACGAGACTTGCGAATCCAGTCGGAAGATATAAATCAATTAAAGAGATCGAATCGTAACGCCACCGGCGCAGAACCGTTCGACAACCTTGCCGATCCACATCTCTGGGTCGACTTTATGATACGACTGGTTGCGTCAGTACGTGTAACGAGTCATCGACACGTGTCGGGTTTCTGAGAGCTTCCTTGTCACAGCAACTAATGAAATATGGTTGAAATGTTGTCTGGAATATCCACTGACAACATCAAAATTCATCCATATTAGATCGAGAAAATAATGCGCTCATGAGACACGATTTATCCACATATTTCGCATAGGTATTCAGCTTCTTGCAACGAAATTACAAGCTCAGACTATAAAAATTGAAGGATTTGACACGATCGCGATATAAATATATATTTACTATCCACATTTTCACAATCGACCGTATCCCAGAAATTTACTCACAGTGACTACCTAGGCTAATGTTATTACGGCTCACTGAAACCATTTGAACTTATTTACATTATTTTAATATCCCTCTCATAATCCGAAATATGTAAAAATCATAGATAAGGGAAAGGTGTCAACAAATTATATATTAGACAATTTGTTATCACCATATTATTCTGCATAAAAAACCGCAAACCTCGTCCATTAGAAGTTTTCATGTATCTCCTCTGGTTTTCGAGATAGTACTTTCGGGTCGAAACTTCGAGGCGTGGTTTCACCCCATAAAGTCGCGTCTCAGCCGATAAAAAAAAATACGTATCCCTTATTTTTGACTGCTTAACAGACATACGAAGTTCCATCAAAATCGGAGGGACACTTCCGTGTCTTCCCTTGTTATCCTTAGCAGGGCTGTGTAGGTGTAATTGAAGAAATATATCGGAATTAATTGGGATCGTTCTCCGTTTTGTTTCAGGGGGCGGAAGTTCGGTATCGGGCAGTCCGACGACGGGCTATCTCGGCGGTATGGGCGGTGGTGCAGGGGGTCACACCCCCGGCAGTTCGAGCCCCGGAAGCGAGATGTCGCCTCAGCACAACGAAAGCCCGCCTGCGCCCTCCTGGCCGGGCGAGATGAAGCACCATCCGCATCCGCACGCGCCACCACACACCCACCACCACCCCCACACGCCTGGACACCATCCACCCCCGCCGCCACCGCCGCCGCATCACGCGGGTTACATGCCACAGTACTCCTGGTACCAGGCGGACCCCAATCCCGGACTACTCACGTGAGTACTGCTTCTTTCTGGACCGACTCTGATCGACTGACAACTCCGACTCACAGTGGTCGGAATTGAAAAGTCCAGTGACATTTTGATATAACTTTTGAACCGTAGGGGATATTGTCTGGTCGTCAATGACGATATCTTTTAACGGAGACGCGTTTGGGGTATTCCACACGAAATCGGACACCTTTTGATATAGAAACATGTCATGCTTCCGAAAACTGGCATTAGTTACATTTTGTTTAAAGTAGACATGTGATCACATTAACAGTAGAACTACCAAGCAACTCAAAATGTTACAACAATACATTTTCTCAGATCTTTTACACCTTTTATTACGATATGAAAGTGAAGAAATTAGTCAATTTCTAAATTTCTAAATTTTCAAAAGTTTTTCACGTTTATCCACCGATCGAAACAAATATGCGTTTATCGTAGTTCTAGTGTTAATATGGCCAGGGTTTGTAGTTTATAAAATATTTCACGTACAACGCCGAGGAGCCCTCGAGCATTTATCGATCATGTACTGCACTTTTCGTTCCCGATCAGTGGCGGAAAACAGTGCACCTCTAACGTTCGCGTTCGTCTTTAATATTTTTCAGGGTGTGGCCGGCGGTTTAACGAAGATGTCCCTCGAGCTGTGTGCAGGAGGAACCGTTTCATCGTAGCACCGCGGCCGTGCCAGCGCCCCAGCCCCAAAGTGTGAATACGTATAGCACCTGTCGCGATGGAATTCGCGTTCGATGTTAATATTGTTTCCTGTCTCGTTCTCACGTCGAGAGCCGCGACCGGCCGGCCGGCTGGTCCTACGCCGAAGTGAAAACCTAGATTAATCGCGACGCCGCCGCCGTGATACATGTCCGCGTAGGGAATCTAAGCATAGTAATTAATAGCCGCGAACACACGCAGAGACACCCCTCGGTTCCGTCGAAGTGCACCACGACGAGTATCTCGGGCGGGGGACCAACGGAAGTACACGTCGTCGAACAGTTTCAGTGAAAATCAAACCAGCGATTTAACCCACGAACGATCCGTGTGTGAGATCCAGGTGATCGCCAATTAATACTCGACGATCGCGTGTGAACCCTTTTTCTATCTCTGGACAGATAAGATGCAACGACACTCTCGACGAAAGAAGACGTCAACGGAAGAGTTGCACGGCTGAGAATCGAAGTAAGAACCGACCGAAAACTAGAGGAAAGCCTCTTATTGTAGATCATCAAGTATCCAAGTTTTCATTTAAACCTGGGATCAAGTGAGTCATTGTTTCACGATGAGAATGTATGAAAAGGAAACTGATCAAAGGAGGTCGGCACGATCTAACCACCGCTCATTATTTCTGTAGAATTTCAATGATCCAGATTTACACACTCTGTCGTCGATCCTCTTAAATGTCAAGATAGCGGTCGATCCTCTAGGTGCACGGTCGATGAATAATTATCCTACGCTCGGACAATGGATATTTTCGTCACCCTCACAGGATCGTGCTTTCGAGTCCAGCACGATCCTCTGCGTGTAACGTTGGTATCTCCTATGGTAAATGTCAATCGTCGATGACGTTAGATCGGTCGATCCCTTGTGACAGTTGGCCAACCCGTGTACTGACCCACTTCGTGCCGCTGGGATCAAACGACGACGGAGAACGGGAAGGGTGACGCGAAACTTGGAACGGAAGGAGAAGGGAGTGGAGGGAGGAACGCGTTGCACAAACCCGTTGAGTAGTCGTTCCTCAAGGCGGTTGGAAGTAATGAAACCCTAATGACATTTTCGTGAGTCAAACGATCTCGGCAATCACGGTGTAATCACTGGTCCCTCCTTTCCGCATGAAGCAACCCGCCGCCGGGGACCTCCTCCGAAAAGGAGCGGAGACGGAGAGCGAGATACGAGTCCGCGCGATTTCGTAGAATCCACACGATGGGGAAAAAAGTATCGTTCCCTCCAACCTCCCCACCCTCTCGGACCACGCGTGTGGACGGTCCTGACCTGATCATTAAATTCATGAGAGAACCGAATGTCGAGCAGAACGGCGGTAATTTCGAGCTCTTCGCTGATGTTCTATGGAATTAACCCTCCCAGAATAAAAATTAAGCAATTTGAATTTTCTTGGCAACGACGCGTTCGCTACCACAGGGCATTTTTTGGAATCTTCGGTCGTATACTGGGGTACATTTCGTGTGTTTTGAATTGGTACGAAAGAAGTATAATAAATAAGAATGGGAAGAATAAAGTGTAATAAACTGTGTATGTGTTCAGTAACCTGGAAATCTGTTCACGTGATGTTTCTTTGTCAGATTATATGCACAATGTTATTTGTCATGTTGTCTAGTGAATTAACCCTCGCAATACCATAGGGGGGTATATAAAAAAATGGTTATAATAAAAATTGAATGGTTTTTTATGCTCTATCAAACGCTGCAATTAAATTGATAATTAAGTACGGGGGGGATGCTTTTATTTAAACAAAGAATTTTTATCAATTTAATTGCAACGTTTTATATGGCATAAAAAACCATTCAATTTTTATTATAACCATTTTTTTATATCTACAATAGTTTTAAAGATATACAGGGAAATATGGTAACACCTATCTACCTTCAAGAAATGTTTTCACCCTGAAGAACTGAAATTGGGCCAAAAACAAAAATTGCGCTATACTTCTCTTGAGGTCCCCTAAAAACCAGGAAAGTTTTAAAAAAATCGGAATTTTCGCGTTATCGAACTTCCCTTGTAAGAATCAGACCATCACAGATACGTGACTTCTGGTAGCGAAAGTGTTCCCCAAACTTCCCATCCTGTCCGTCCCCGGTAAAATTCCAGAGGGTATTCAAAACGTTCCAAGATTCACGTCGTCCCGACTGTTTTCCGTCGGCCATGCTGGGTCACGATGGCCGGGTCTTGCATCCGCGCGAGCGATAGCTAGCTTTCAAAGAGACGAAGACCACGAAACCGCAGAAAAGACGGGTTGCGGTTTGCGACCACGGGAAACTGGGAGGGCCTGCGAGCCCCACCGCTGACCCAAATCCTTCGGCGTGTCGGTGCAACAATGGTCGTCCCATGAGAACGCGGTCTCGCACGGTCCCTTTACTTCCTGAAACTGCCTTCTTTTTTCGCCTCCGGAGATCCACGATCCGACAGACGAAGCCGTTGAATTCGCGAAACAACGCGAAATTTTCACGAAATCCTCCCGTACCCGACAAAATACTTTAGGGGATCGATCTGTATCCGGTTAGAGGATCGCAAAGACATTGGTCCCCATCGATGAAGCTTCGATCTCGCGATTCCGCCAGGTCACGTTAAAAAAACTAAGTGTTCAGTACCAGAATCGTAGTACAAACGCAGTTCCACGTCTAAATCAACGAGAGAACACGTCTGGTAATGGGACAAGTGCGGACATCTGCGACGAAAATCGGATGTCGTTCGCACACGGTCAATCAAAATTCCTCCTGGTGATTCCAAGCGTCGTCCACGGCAGTTACGATTGAGAGATACTCGGTGTTTCTCTGGTGGATGGACCGAGATGAAAGAACAACGTTTCTAGCCGGACGACAATGATTCCTCCGTGTATACTAATAAGTGCCGTTAGATTCGACCGCAGAGATACGAGGCGCGGAACGGCCGCTGGGAAAAGGAAAGACAGAGACGGGTACTTGCGTTTTCGATTCGGTGCAATAAAGAGAGGCGTGTGCGTGTATAATTTAAGATGAAGCTCCCTCAGTTCCTAAATTGCGCGTAGAGAGCGAGTAAATTGCGGAGAGGCGGCGTGAACAGATGGAAGCTGGACGGAGAGTGTTGCGCCTGTGTGGTTTCTACTACTATAGGGGGAGGGGAAAAGAAAGACGATTGGGACCGTTAACCCCCGTTGAAATTTCTCGTACGTGAACACTTTGTTTCCCGGGAATTCGTGGTTCGACGCGTGAGCATGTCAGATGCATGAGAGGAAGCGTGGTCGTCGACGGGACATCAAACGACGTGTGATTTCAGCTCCGTCACGCTTTCAGTCGTGCCGCCATGGAATAACTGAACGCACTGGCCGTTGGACGTTGCCGCGAATTTAAGGGGTTACATACCTTTTATATACAAAAAAATTGTTTACGTTTCCCTCTTAATTAACAGCTCGAAGGTATGCAACACCTTAACGCGAGACGAATAGAAACGAACACATACACATACACCGCGTACTACCCAGCCGAAACACACACACACGAGAGGTTATAAGATAAAAATTTGAAAAAAATTTGACAGAGAGCCCCCGTAGAATTTACTAGCGTTTAAACTAGCCCCGACGCAATAAAAATTACACCATGACCCCCCCCCTCCCCCCCCCCAAACTTTGCCCCGATTTTAGTGTGTAAGTCGTAAATGAAATAAAATCTGTGTAAAATACGATTATTGTGATAAGAGTGTAAAGAAACGTGAGACAGAGAAAACGAGAGAAAGAGAGAGAAGCCAGAAATCGTCTATATACATATAGGTTAACACACGGCAGACCCCAATTTATCAATTTTATCGAGTACCCTTGTACGAATATAGATATTATGGACTAAGATACCTTAATTATGATTACTATTGTATAAAATATGAATAATAACTAATTAATTCAATTTAAACAAGACCTGTCGATCTGTTTTACCCTATCCTTAAATCATTTTTTTCTTGCGTTCTTCAGGTAACTCGACCAGTGGATGGAAATTTTACGCCAAAAATATATTTAGTCGGATATTTATTAACATTTCCATAAGTGAAAGCACGAGTTCATAATGTAATGGATGACAATTCGTCGCTCTAGTTCTTAATTTTTCTGTCTGCACTAATTTATAAACTATAAACTAAATGTAAAGTTTATCAAGTTTACTATTATAGAAGCAGGAAAGTATTGAAATAATCAAACACACTCTAATATCATCTACTGAATAGCTATTCATCACAATATCTAAGAAAATTTTATCTTAGTATCAGCATTAATTTTTAATTGTTGTTAGTATTTGGAAATCTAACCATTAAGAAAAGAAAACTTTCAAAGTTTCGGAGTTAGGTCTTAAAATAATATTTCCTGTCTTCTGGGTTCAATTTTCTGTATATCATGGTGAATTTGCATTTGTTGTACCCATGAGGCGCACATGGATTGATTAACTAAATTAAAACAAAAAAAATGTAGTTGAAACAGTTAAGAACTCGGACGACAAATTGACTTTTCTTTTCGAACATGAGAATATTGAAAGCCAGATAGCGGATGATGTTTATTGTTTTGTATCAGTCTGATGCACAGTTCGTTGGTATCGTCGCCCGAAGGTGCAATAAAACTGTGGGTTCGTCGACGTGTTCCACGAAACGCCATGTTTTCGAGCGAGCCGGTCAATTATTCAATCATTTCAGAGGAACGGCCACCGAACGGACTCGCAGTGTCCTGATGGTAGGTTCGAGTTCCTTTTTTTTTTCCTTTTCTCTTTGTTCACCAACGGCGGACACCACCTGCCGTTCTAGAGCCGGCGTACGCATGCTCTACTTTTATGGATAACTGTACTCCTATCTCTCGCTTAAAGCGAACCCACCGACAATCCCACGTCTCGCCGAGTGTCTACCTGGTGTCTTGGAAAAGTCGTACCTGCGGAAAGTACGGGGGAAAACTTGGGGGCAGTGCAATAACTATAGTATTTCGATCGAAGTACAGTGATTCCCTCGTTACAGTCCA